CAAAGTGCCAGAGATACTGACTACTATCTGATACATTTTGTTGGATCTCTGCTCCCCCCCCCACTGGGCATGGTGGTTCCTTGTGCCAGCCGCTACATCAGTAGAATGACTGATGCAATCTAGAACTTCATTGTGTTGGATCCTTGCTCCCCCCACTGGGCATGGTGGTTCTTCCTGCTAGGCACTACATCAGAGTGACTTTGCTGCTATCTGGCACTTCATTGTGTTGGTTCGTTGCTCCCCCGCTGGGCGCTTTGGTTCCTCCTGCTAGCTGCTGCATCAATACAGGACATGGCGAGGTAAGAGTCGGCAGGTGAAACCCCAAAGATGTAAAGATTGGTCACCAGAACTCAAATAGAACTCTAAATATAAAAATATATAATTTATTGCAAAGGTTGTCATGTAGGTCAATATAGCCAACGTTTCAGGGCCCTGCCGGGTCCCTTCCTCAAGGTGACACCGTGACCTACCTTTATCTTCAGTGGTGAATGGTGTGCAGAAGGCTACAAGACGCGGTAGGCAACAACACTCTTCCAACACATCTGATGGCAGTGGTGCCGCTATCACTGACGGAGATGATCTCACCAACCACCACACTGAGAAGTTTTCCGTGTCTTTCTCCCCCCTAAGTTCTTCTTGGATCTTGTTATGCTCCCAGCTGGGTCACTGTTATACAATGGATCAGAAGATTTACAAATCTGCTGACCGGTGACATCCAATTAAATAAAAATAGAGGCCTGAATCTGGCTGGTCTCGATGAATAGGGCCCTTTCTATGGAGCCATCTCCTATTACCACCTTGATATTGGAGGACGGAACCTTTCTACCTAACGGATTGATGATCACACTGGCATTTCTTCCAGATATTTTTACATCTTGCGTTGCGGCCGGGGTTGCCCTTTAAACTGCATATCGGGATTCTTGAGTACTGTGGCTCCAGCCTCTTCTCTGTGCCATTGACTCTGGCCTTGCACACTCGGGTCTCGGGTAGCCATGTGCTGACAAGGCTGTGGGAATAAATAGCCTGGCGGGTTGCCCAGCACTGGAGCGTGCACAAGCCTGTTGCTGCATCCATTCCATAATCTGCCTGCTCGGGCTGCGATTAACCTCTTCCCTGCCAGTCGCTGTCTCCCCTTTTTTAAGGGTACGTCACTGCGGTCGCTCATCCTATCGGACACCTTCGCGTTCTCTGCAGCAGGTAGAGACTGTAGTAAAAGCCATGGCCTCGGTGGTTGGAGAAACCCTGTCACCAGTTGACACGATTATTTTTTTTATTTAATAAAGCGACACGATGACATAATTGTGTCCCAACATTTTTATTAAATTTCCCCTTTTTGCTGACAGCTGGATCCACCTGCAGACGGCTCATTTCTCCACTGTTCATTTAGGAACAAGGATTTTCTGTTTAGAATTGGGTTATACTGCCACCTACAGGAGGATTAGGCAATAGGGGCCTCTCTGCTATAACTACTTCTGCTATCCATCTCCAGTGTGACTTGGTTTCCTCAGGATCCTCTGCTGGGATGTTTCCTTTTCAGTCATGAAGCTGCTGGCAGTTCCAGGTATACGAAGCCCGGGGATCTCAATGATTGCAAGTCTTCCCAATTCACAAACCATCTTGCAGCCGTGACCACTCCCGCGAGATTCTGTCCTTGCAGTTGTCGGGGATGAAGGATGACAGGACTTCCATTGCAGTGACCTGCAAGGGGCCCCCGTGGGAGGCTTTGTTGGGAGCCGTATCATAGAGGGTGGTCAGGTAGAAGGATCTGACACTCCTGGAAAGTGCTGGATTCCTATTAGGCCTCATTCACACTAGAAAAGGCTGGCACGTACAGCTGCGTGCACGGCCATATCGGGCCGCTCCCTGCATGCATGCATGGTCGTATCGGGCAGCTCCCGGGAAGGACAGGTGCTGCGTGTGATTAGTACACAGCCCACGTCCTTCTCGCCGTACACTCACCCGCCCTGCACGTCCGTGCGGATGAGCGTACTCATACTATGACAGGATGGATCCTGTCTGCGTCCGAGTCGGGACACACACGCGTACGGACCTGTACTTGAGGTGAGCATGGGGAGGCGTATGGCTGCGTAGTCCCATACAGAAGGACCGGGGCTGCATACTAATCACACGCAGCACCTGTCCTTCCCGGGAGCTGCCCGATACGACCATGCATGCAGCACAGAGCTGTACGTGCTGGCCGTTTCCAGTGGTGTGAATGAGGCCTAAATGTTGCACAGCTTGTGACTATGAAAAGAAGAAAAAGCAAAAATAAGTGCGGCAAGTGTGTTTGTTTTTTTAAGTATGAACTGGTGGTGTCTCTAAAGCTTAATTCCAGCTTTTTTATTGGCTGAAATTGAGCTTATTACTGTGCTTCTTCACCTTCACTGTTCAGTCAGAAGCTGGGGCAGGTCCATGAAAGCCTGGGCTCAGAGGAAGTGAGTGGAGTGACACTGGCCATTGTTTCTCTGGAGTCTAGTGCCATCTAGTGGTGGAAAGGAATTGCTGAATGCTCCAGATTGAAGCCATGCATTGTATTGAATGCTATTTGTTTTCGGTGTTCTGGGCATTTTATTTCTAAATTGGAGCTTTACATTAAAGTCAATTTCCACCTCTGTGGAGGGATTTTTTTAACAAAACATATGCCAGCAATGTACACTGAGTTTACATGAAGCAGACATATGCAGTTGCTGTATATGAACACACAAACCTGCAGGTTTTTTGGATGGCAATCCACCATGGCTCCTTTTGGAAATGGCCGCCTCAGTGCTCTGAATGCAGTCTGTGTAAATTTAACACTGAGCTCTCTCCCCTCATCCATCAGTATGTGTAGTGGCGCGGCTGCCCCCTGCACATTGTATTGTGACCTGGAAAGGCAGAGCCGGTGTGGGTGTGCAGTGATCTTGTTAGTGACTTGCAGGGATGGGCGTCAGCTCCTTTACAATCTGGAGTTTTTTTTTTGTTTTTTTTTAAATTCTTTATTTTTGAGCCAACATTTGACGGTAAACATATAACACATATACATTCGAGTAATGATGTCGTACAGGTACAAACGTAGGAAGCATATCTACATCTCCTAGCCCCAGTCGCTTAATTAGTCAAGGACCAAGCGTGAGCAGCATAATATCGTATGCAACATCCGGGCGTTTGGGGTGATTGCAATGCATATCTGGTATGTCTTAGTGTGTAATAAGTAGGGCTGTGGAAATGAAAGATTAATTTTTTGATGGATTAAAATTATTTTGATCGCTAATGAAAACACTCGCCTCCGCTGGCTTCCGGGAGTCCCGTCGGCGATCCGGTGACGTCACACACATCGACATCACCGGACTCCTCCCTTCCCCAAGTGGCTCCGTCGGCTAACGAAGGGAAGGGGGAGGAGCCCGGTGACAATGTCCGTGACGGCTAACGAAGGGAAGAGGAGTCCGGTGACGTCGATGTCCGTGACGGCTAACGAAGGGAAGAGGAGTCCGGTGACGTCGATGTCCGTGACGTCACATGACTCCTCCCCCTTTGTTAGCCGACAGAGCCACTTGGGCCGGTGAGTTTGCCCAAGAAACTTTCTGCACGAGCGCCAGCCAAGGCATTGGCCTATACACATACAGCACAGCAATGAAGTAATAAAATGAACTCGGATCACACTAATCCATCACATTATTATTCTGAGTTGCCCCACTCTAGCGGCGGCCATATTGAGTGGGGCACGTGAGATTAATAATGTGCTGGATTAGTGTGATCCTAGTTCATTTCATGACTTCATTGCTGTGCTGTATGTGTATAGGCCAATGTATTTGGATCTGTATGTGCGTTTATAATTGAAATTAATCGATTAAAAAACATTTCGATTAATCGAACACGAAAATTGTAATCGTTACCAGTCCTAGTAATAAGCAATAATTTCGATAGGCAGAGGTGTGTGAACCAAGGGGTCCACCTGTTTGCTTCCGGGGATTGAGGGAAGGGGTAGGACATCAGACAACATCAGGACAGAAGAGGGGGGGAGGCTTACAAACAAGAGGATTGGAGGGCAGTACCGGCAAGCTAGTGTGTAAGAGAAGGTATAGGTCACTGGGACATGGTAGAGCCTGCCAAGAGGGTCACTCACGGCTCTGGAGGGAATTTTGAGTTTGTAGGACTCGGGCTTACTAAAGTCCATAAAAAAAATAAATTAAAAAGCCATCACTGAGTCACGAAACACACATACATCATCACTGCACCTCTACGTTACTGCAATAAATGCCGATCACTTACAAAGGTGGACATGGGCTTTAAAGAGACACAACCTTATTTTGGCTCTGGCCACCCTTGCCCAGACATCGGCCACAGAGACCAATCATCCACCCAGAAGACTTGCTGCATAGAGAAGAAGCACGGCAGGCAGACTATTACTATGGAACAAAAATATTCTTCTTAAAGGGCCGGGGGAAAGTTGCGTAGTGGTTTTGTATGACGTTCCTTGCCTATAGTGGTTGCTGTACTTCATCTACTTGTATGAATCTGGATGACTATACTGGACTCCTTGCAATACTTTGGCTGCTGTGATTGTTTGACGTGTCTGAAAGGTTTTGTTTTTTCCCCCCTAATGCATTATAAGCGCTGAGAACCTTTAGCAGCCGAGGGTGTCTGTGTCTACATGTTCAATGCATCCTCTAGTTTGGGGGCGCCTGCAATCCCTTAATCTACTCTAAATTTATATTGACATTTAAAGTGTTGTACACATCGTCCGAGAACAGACTTTCCTTATACTTGTCTGTGTAATGATGAAAAATGTTTTTGTTTTTCTTTCAGGCTCACATAAAGTTTCCAATAGATTACCCGTACTCCCCTCCGACTTTCCGCTTCCTGACGAAGATGTGGCACCCCAATATTTATGAGGTAAGAAACCCTACTGTGATATCTTATTGTAGCACAGGGGGGGTGTCGGGGTGCATCAGAAGCTGGTTCATCCGGTCCTAGAAGCAGCTTGAAATGTCCCTTTCATCATTCATTTGAAGGCACCGCAGACCTTTGGGAAGTGGGTGGTGGGGTATTGGCTCAGTGGGGAGATGACCTCTCGGTGCTTGTCCTTCTGGGGCTATACTGTCTTATCGGAGTTTTAGCTTAGTGGCGTAGCACGGTCTTTCTCAACCAGGGTGCCATAGCATCCGACCTTCTGGCTTCCTCAGGGGTGCCTCAAAATTGTGGTGGTGTGACTGATGTGAAGGTGGGGATGAAGACTGAGGTGAAGGATGCTCATGATAAGATGGGCTGCTGATGCTAAAGGGTGACTCTGATGTGATGGGGGGGTCTTGATTTCAAGGGGGCACTTCGATCTGAAGGGGGAAACGCTCTTTTTTTTTTTTGTGTAGTGTCCTCTTTAAAGTCAGATTTTTTAGACTTGGGTGCCTCAAGATTGTGCATACTTTTAAAGGGTGCCATGACTAAAAAAAGGTTGAACGCTGTTCTAGGGGGTCAGACATTAAAGCCTACTGGTTGGATGAAGATAAAACCTCTTAGAAGATCTGTAGACTTTCCTTCTATCCGGTCAGAGAACATGAAGCTGCTCCTTTCAGGCTAGACGCAGGCCGTGCTGCCCTTTCCCACTCTTGGCATGGTCACAGACTCCCGCTCTCTGTATTGTTTCCTTCATCTCTCAGACCAGAAGATCCAGCAGTCTAGCGTGCTCCCCTTAGCAGGGGAATGATTGAA